TGCGTTAGAAAAAGGTGTGGCCTATAAGCGTGCATCGTTCAATTTCCCTATATATTCATTAAACTTTACCGCCGCATGGAAATTTCATCAGCGAGCGTCAAAATGACCAAATTAATGTAGTTATAAGGACGCGTACCAATTTCCTATAGTTAGTTAACACTTTGATAACTTCTGCAGAATGAATCGAATTAGGGCATACCCTTCTCAAATAATTGGTTAATGTTCAGCTTGTTCAATAATGTACGTGACAAAAGTAAATTTATAGGATGCAAATTGTATTCGATTGTTCTTAATCCTGCAGAATGAGATGTTAAAAAATTCAATGTTAGCAGAAGAACTCCGTTTCTGAATATAGGTCTACCGATTATTCTATCGAATGTGATTTTTATAGCATTTCTATATATCGAACACGAAGCAAACTCGGTTAGGTGAGATGGTGAGAGTACGGCTCTGCCGAACTCTAAAAACCTGATTCGGTCCCCAGCGGGGCAGGCACAAGCAAACTAATATCTTACAGTTTTTCGTGAAATGTTAGAATATAACTTATTGAAGTTCTTTTCGGACCTAACTAGAATAACTAAGTATCCTATCAGGTTTGTTAATGTTCGCAATAAATTCGAATTGAAGTTAAGAACTCCACAATTAGCGTTTCTAATATCTCTGATAAGTACCTAAAATAGCAAATTTTGCACTGTAGAGTTGATTTTCAGAGAGAAACACCACCCACCCTCATCACTGTGAATTTAAAGAAGTCACGCTTTCAGACGAACGAACATACAGACCAGCAGCTCAACATAAAAAAAAACATGAGAAATGGACCAATAAACTGGAATGGAATCAGCTTTGTATATGATTCTCTCCAGAAAGATGTTTTTTCTACTTCTTGGAAGACCGATCCCGCTCAACCCTTACCCATAGAGAAACATAGAGAATCTTAGGTCTTGAATAGAATCATGGTTCACATCTGCATTTCGTTGTAATGGTTTATTATAGCGTATTTGATCTTGACTCTTTCACCATCAACAATGGTGAAAGTATCCGAGATCCATATTGTTCATATTGCTACTTTCAATATACATCAACAAACGATAACAAATCCAATATTTTACTCCGCTGACCACAGCACTCTTGTCGAAACATTTGCTATTGATGCACATTTTTGTCATCAACAAGAAGTTTCATAATCTGATGAAAATGTAAACAAAACAAGTGATTGATCACTATGTTGTCGTATGAAAATTGAAATTCAACAGACACAGTACTAGTCATCTCCTGAAGACACCAACTTTGTTGGTTAAACTCGCGTCAAGAAGAGCATCGAAGTTCTGATTATTGGGAAAAGTACTTGTTTTTAGATTTGACAGAGATGTGGTAGGTAGACAAAATCTAGAAAATATTCACTGCCAAATTTGTTGTCCAATCATGGAACATCTGAGTGAAAATGTAATGTGTTACGACTACTGGACAAAACTATGTAACCAACTGGTGGGAATAAGTGAACATAAAATAACTAGATGAAATTATTATTCAAGAATTGTTTCAAAATATTTCAATAACCGAAAAAAAAACTGATATGACTGATAAGCAAATCTGTCAACATGTTATTCTGAATTGTTATTTGTGTTTCTCAAACTGATGTTACAGAATTGAAGTGATATATATTTGATATTTTGAAATGAAAAGAAAACGTATGACAATTGCATCACAATAAATTGCTGATTTTTTGAGGCATGTGAAATGAAATAATTTCGACTATTTTATCAATTTTATTGTTCTAACAACCGGTATATTGTGTTATTTGGTTTGTGTAATTATTCTGAAACTTTTCATCGATGGGAAGTATTTTCTAAAAATTTGATGTGTATCTGTTGCTCAATAAAATCATTATTCATATAATGAATTTTGTGAATTCCAGAATAGTTCCCTAGATCAGAAATCAGTCCCTGAATATACAGCTGAATAGAAATTACTTTCAACCGACCAATTTCTGATGATGGTGTCCACTGCTACCAACTTCGAAGAGAAAAATAAACGAATTCCAAATGAAGACAAACGATTTGATCAGTATAATGACAAAAACATGAGTTTATCTGAGATCATGAAATTATTTGATAGGGAAAACTCAATAGGATAGTATTATTTAGCCATATAAATCTCAGAGAAAAATTGATATCAAGTGAGAAAAGTTCAAAAGCTTCTGGAAAAAAGAAAAAATTGTTCTATCTGTACAATTTCATCAGTTCGGACTTCCAATGTCCAATATTGAATAAAATGATTTGAAATCCTTGGAAGAATCATTAGAATAGCAATTATATTGAGCAAAAAACCCTGAAATAAAATTACAGTAAAATAAAATACAAGTAAAAAAAGAACAATTTAACAAAAAAAATAAAAAATTAAAAGATTCCAAACCAAGTTACTTCACGACGTTACTATTGTTAGTATTCACAATCATCTTCTAATGATGACTGGACTAATTTCTCCGAGAGATGACTGTTTATGGATCATTCGAGTACTTTCACTTATCTCCTTGATTGTGGATACTAACAATCGAAACGTCGTGAAGTAACTCAGCTTGGAATGTCCTAATTTTTTTTTTTTTATTTGTTGTTGAATTGTTCTATTTTCTACTTGTATTTTATTTCACTGTATATTCATTTCATTTTTGCTTAATATAATTGATATTTTAAGCAATTTTTTTCATTTTTCACTTGTATTGGTTCTTTCAGGGATTTCAATAGACAGTGGAAGTCTGAATCAATGAAATTCATCATGAAACAATGTCAATCACCTTCAAACAAACCTATAGGAATACCTTGTGTTACAATGGCATGGCGGTATTTCCAAAAATATACTTTATGTTCTACATCGAGTATGTTCTACATCTAGCAGTTAGAAACACAGTGACTTTTATCATCTCACACTTGAGTTGCATAAAATATTCGTATAATCAATATCCGTTGAATTTTACTGGAAATAATATTATCAATGTAAAGAAAAATATTCAAACAGAGGTGTTCACGAAACAAAAACTGAAAAACTTACAAAACGACTGCCCTCCTGAAAGTTGTAGATGATGTGCATATATCTATTGATAACAACAAACTCTATCTTCTGATATTATTGGACTACTCCAAGGCTTTCGAACGCATACACCTTGAACTTTCCTATGCTATTTTGGGCTACCTAGAGTTTTCAATGCATGCTATAGCACAACTGAAAAGTTACCTGTGCAATCGTTTCCAAAGAGTTGTGTATGACAACGAAAAATATGATTTGATACAAATCAAAAACTGTATTCTCCAAGGTTCAATATTGGGCCCTCTCTTATTTGTTCTATATACATCTCGATTCCATTAATCACTGCAATTTGCAACCAAGCATTGTCACGCCGACAATACTCAGCTATACATGAAATTACTCAATGGATATTGTTCATCAAGATACATAGGGCTGTTCAACAAAGACAGCTACAGCCAAAGCAACAACGGGACTGTTACATTCGTCATGTTCTATAATATAAGAATCTGAGGAACTGAATGAAATGATAAAGGTAAAGATATAGGCTTGCACAAATTTCGAAGTCTCAGCTACAAACTTTGAATCAAAGAAGTGAAGCATTTTATGGATGGCATACACCCAACAAATGACCTTCATACATCAGTTCAGGAAACAAGCTTGTTCTAATGTTTGTATGAGTATACGTTGAAAGAAAAACACAAGAAGCGCATGGGTCAGTATGAGTGGTTCCTTGGGACTACGAAAAAATTTATCAGTCAGATGATTTCCAACAAGTTGCAAAAACCTTATTGTGGTCTACGAGGATGAAGAAGAGTAATTATTTGTCAGACATAACGAAGGTATTTGATAAAGGCACTTCTTCCATACTGGAATACTTTTTTCTGTACCCCATTTGCTAACCAAGCTAGTATCAACAAAAGATGACCAGAATAAAAATATTGAAATAACAAAAAAACAGTCATCTGCTGATGCAACTAACTTGGTAATCAAACGCGCGTCTGGTGTGCGGAAAAGTGTTTTCATCAGACCTGTTATACAGGGTGTAACTGGATAAGTGTAAAACATTTAAGGAGGTGATTCCTCATCGAAAAAAAGATAGGATCTCTCAAATAAAGAAACTTCATTGGAGCATCCCTTGTTAAGATATAGCCCCTTAAAGGGGATACATCAAATTTCTATAACAATTTTTTTCACAAACACTGGAAAAGTTACAATATTGAAATCAACCTGATGTTTTGTACTACCAAGAAGACACTTAGCCAGTAATTTATTTGGTTTACCCCATGGTTGCAACATTTATGTATGCCATTTTAATAACAAGTGAATTATTGAAGTAACAATTTAGAAAATTCACAAACTGACAGCGTCATACCAATTCAATTGTCACTATCGCTAATAGCGACCTACTAGATAGATTAGTTTCGTATTTTCGCATTTATGACGATGTATCTCTGTAGTTGTTCATAAAATATTTTTTTGCTGCGGACTGGTTCATTTTGGGCAAAAAACCCAGGACACATTTTTTGTTTAGCATGAAACATGCTATCGGAAATGAACTTTTTAATGGTGAACAAATAATAAGACAAAAAGTTATATTGGAAATAAATTTCAGGGGTTGCATTTTCCACCCCTTACAACCATGGGGAAAACCAAATGATAATACAAAACGTCAGGGTTAATTGTTATACAAATTTTATGTACCCCCTTTAAGGGGCTGTATCTTAACAAGGGATGCTTCAATGCAATTTCTTTATATGAAAGATCGTATTTTTTTTTTGATGAGGAATCACATCCTTGAATGTTTTACACTTATTTATTTACACCCTGTATAATAGGATCATGTCAGAGGTGTATCTCCCCGAAATTCGAGACAACAACCATAGTTATGCCTGCATCATGGATATCATGAAATTTTTGAGTGTCTAATGAATGTTAATGTTCCAAACTCCCAGCATTATAAGCACCCCAAGTAAACTTACCGGAATTCCACGAATCCTTGGTGAAGAACAAGCGCCATGAAATCTCCAGCCATGTCATCCCTTTCTCCTGTCAGAAAAAATATTCCGTCGTAGGACTCGGGACGTAGTTCAAGACTCAGTTGGACGTGTTTGTAGGCCCCCCTCAAGGCAGGAAATGCCAACCAACTGGAGCCAGTGAATCTGGGGGATTGTATTTCTTTATCTGTAACAGAACAACAGAATTACCGAAAAATATAGTTGATGAAACGGCGTGAAATCATTGAAAAAAATGTTTTATAGAGTGATTAACTTTGTTTCAGTTACTATATCTCCAATAGATGTAAGCTAATTTTTTCATAAACACCAGAGAGCTTGCGAAAGGCCATGAGTTGAGAAAAACTTCAACAGGAACTGTAATAGTTGAGCGCCACCAGGTTATAGAAGCACCTAAAATATCCAAACCATGGAAATTATAATTCATAGTCAGAAAATTACTTTTATGACTATGAAAAGCCTTTTGATTGAATGTGCGATGAAAAAGAACAATCAAATTCTGAAATGATGAAGAGTTTCGTTTCTATTAGCAAAGTCTTGTAGCAGTTGTCAAACCAAAACCATAATACTAGTACAATAGAATTATGAAAGCATACGTTATAATGTATTTTTGTTTTGATGAAAATGAAAATTGAAGAACAATAAAAAATATTAAGGACGAGTAGGCAGGTTTGCAGCTAGTGTTCTCGATAATAATTGTCACAATGGAAATGTATATGAAATGCATTCATTGATTTGAAAAAAAATATGTTTTGCCTGTTATCTAGCGAAGAAAAGACTGTTGAGATCTTCAAGAAGGGTCAGTAAATAATTGTTGAATAGTTTCTGGAACTCTTTCATTTGGAGAACTGCGTTTATGTAAAATAAACTTTCCGAGAACGTTTTCCCGAATGGGTTTATTCTCCAGCGATTCAAATCCAATATGAATCGCTACTTTTGCATAAGCACCGCTCTTAGAGCGCTTAAGGATTTTTCTGTAGTGCTTGTGTTTTGTCTTCAGAAAAAGATAATATCATGGTCAAAATTTTATATCTTTTTTCTGGACATTCACCAAATTTTTACCAACAGTATATTTTAGAAACTTCAGACCCACTTTTATGAAGATATATACAAAGACAGAACCTTTACTGGATTCTCCAATGAACCCTCTTCCAGGAGTGTTTTCGTACACAAATAGGTTAGGTTAGGATAGGTTCCGATTTCTGTAATAGGTTAGGTTAGGTGTTAACCTTATCTATTACAGAAATTGGAAGAATTGGCACAATACAGCTAGTTAGCAATAAACAGATCCAATTATGCTGTTGCACAAAATTTCTTTGATGATAGTTTGGAATGGCGTATGCCAAGACAAAAATTTCACGTCACATCAGTTGACTAGAGGAAATAGTAGTATACTACATGGGCGGATAAGTCTCGGGCCTAAGACATTCACAGCTTTTTCAGTTATTACTAACATTCAAAAGAAAGCTGTTGAAATTTCACGATATTGTACTCATAGGTACTTTCGTTATTTTCGAAATAGTAGATCAAAAACAATTTTTTGTTTTGATTTTACACTGCTTCTTGATGGGGAAAATACCGCTCAAGCGAAGCAATTGCTTGAAAACTATTATGAGGACTCCGCTCCATCAGAAACAACATTTGTAATGGGGGAGCCCAAGCGGGGATTTCGGGATTTACTCAAGCGTGGCAAATTAATGTGCAGGGCGATAACTTGTACCCGGTTAAGGTTCCTCCACNTTGATTTGTGCAATTAGCAATGTGCACAAGTCTATATGCAGTCCCTCTAGCCTCTCTCTCCAGAAAAATGTGGAGAGGAAGTAGATCTAGAAGGATATCCATGTCCTCTGACGGTTTGGTACTGATGGCACCACTGATGGCCAGACAAGCATGTCTCTGTAAGCCAGAGAACTTTGCCCGGGCCGTTTTCCATAAAGTCTTCGGCCACCAAAAAATTGCACCATAAGTGATAATTGGTCTGACAATCATCACATAAATCTGGAATCGACTATCTTTAGTAGGGAAATACCATCAACAGTGAATAATATATAGCGTTGCAAAGAAACGACCGCATATGACTAAGAAAACTGGGGCCCAGTGTAAGGCAAAAGATAAATCGTGGTACTGGAATGTTAGAGCGGCGCTGGAATGAGTGTGTGGCTCTTGATGGAGACTACTTTGATGAATAAAGCCAATTTTGAACAAAAAAATACGTTTTCTCTCTTAGGCTCGGGACTTTTCAGCCCATATTTTATGTTTTCATATGGACAACCAAGTTTTTGTTGTTACACACCTCAGCAACTTTTGATTTTTTATAAAGCTCAGATCAGACCTTCCTCGAAGTATTGTTCTCATTCCATCCAGAAAAGAGCCATCCGCCTGATTGGAGACATGAACATCACGCGAACATCACTTGATAGCCTGGAACATCGAGGAAAGATTGGAGATTTGTCTCTCTTCTATAGATACTTTCACGGAACGTGATCAAGTGACTTGGCACATTTGATCACACCAAGACGGTTTATATCAGAAATACGCGACGGACTGTGGCTGCTCATCGTTTAGAGGTTCAACTCAGTACACCTCAAACTTCAAGTTTCTGGGAAAGTTTTCCAAAATGGATTTGATCTCCAGCGATTCAAATCCAATGTGAATCGCTACTTTCGCACAGGCTGCGCTCTGAGAGCGCCATAAGGATTTTTCTGTAGTGATTCTGTGAACAAAGACGATCTGCCAACGAAAAGAGATTATGAAATTCCATAACATCGAAAATTTGGTAGACCCGGTCGATGCCCTTGGAAATATCAAGCGAAATCGCCTGGGATTGCATCATTTCTGTTGATATTCTCCCGGCATTGCCACTGTACCATAATTGTGATGCAATAGCATCATGATATGTTGCAATTGTTTTTCATACCTTTTGAAAAAGCCTAGCTATTATGGTCTTTCCAATACTTGAATCATTGCATATTGGTCATCATGGATCACTTTCTGATCACCAGTTACTGTAACTGTAGAAATTAAAAAATTTTCGAGAATATTTAACTTTTCATTTTACGGTACATTATCTCCATGTAACTCCAAAGGGATAGGCAGCGCATGCCAAGATAGCTCTCAGGGAGCAAGAAGTTTGCCGACTCACTTATTACTCATCTTCATATTACGTCCAAAATCAAACAACATCTTCTTAAACAACATACTCAATGCCAGTTGTCACTAAAAGCTGTAGACATATAGAAAATGCAGTAATTTCAGCTTCATCGGATCAGAACCTGCCAAAGGAATCGCTCTAGTCTTTGCCATTGAACATTGAACACCTGGATGACAAAAAGATTCATGGGCTCTTTGCAAAATTTTCCATGATTGGCTCACATCGAAGCTTGAAATCACAGTTGTTGTAGGGATGAACTACGATGTCTAACAGGCCTTCTCACAGGTCACTGTCATTTGAATCATCATTTGCAGAGACTCGGACTGTCTAAGGCAGTGTGTCTCACCTCTGTATGGAAAATGAACGGTGGAGTACATACTTTGTGCCTGCCCCGCTGCGGACCGAATCAGATTTTCAGAGTTTGGCAGAGCCGCACTCTTACTATCTGCCCTGACAGATTACTATAAAAGATATATTCTGACATCAAAAACTTACCCGTCATTTCCACTAAACGCACGACAAATCAAATATCAACAATATTTAATCCGCGTTCATATAGTATTATTGATTTTGGAGTCGGTCTGCCAGGTAAATGAACATACATCAAAATTTGCCTCAACACTTCAATCATTATGCTGCCCGCAACAATAGGCACTGAAATTCCCATTACCTATTGAAAATCTCACCAGAGACTATTTTCTATACAGACCATTTCTTTTATCATGTGGTGACATTGCTATATTCTAAACCGAAACAGATACCAAGACGATTAAATGGGAAAAAAGGTAACTGTCATTGGGAACAATACAATGACGAACCTGTCTTTTTTATTACAAATATTGATAAAGCAATAAATTCACAATCCACATTTGATATTTTCATAGCGTTTCATTTAAAATAATAACCATCATAAGTGACAACAACCAAACAGAAAAACAATTTATTTTATCATACCGCCAATTTTATTGAGGAAATCAACAGAAATAATATCAATTACCACTCAAACAACGGATAAAGAGTTCAAAATACCCTCCATCTAGTTCCATACAATAATACAGTCTACTTTCGAAAGCGTTCCTTACATTATTGTAGATGCCCGGAGTCAGAAATCGGCATTTCCAAACAATTTTCTGTCGCAGGTCTACATTTGTAAAATTTATTCTATTAGTAGTAATCGTTTCGAAATGGACGACACTGTTAGTTTTTGTTGTATCTAGTTGTCGCAGAACAAACAGTAGATATTTGGCCACTGTCACTTCTTCTCGAATTATCATTCAGTTATCCTTGTTCACTGTGTTCCAACATGGTTTATTCTATTGAAGATAGGATAGCAACTGTCGCAACCTATTATATAAATAATAAATGTGCTAAAGCTGCTGCGAGAATTTATAATACGAATTATCCAAACCACAACGTGAGCCATCAATACGTTAAACAGTTAATGGATAAGTTTCGAACTTCAGGTTCTGTTCAGTATCCCGTCCTATCAGAAATTACGGAGTCAGAGTTGCAGTTTTAGGACATTTACAAATAGATAACCGGCAATCTATCAGACAAGTAGCTAGTGGGTCTGGTGTATCAGCTTCTAGTATTTTTCGGATTTTGAAAGCCCATCCATCCGCAACTGCCCTTGCCGATGTGTTGGACGACATCTTAGAGGCAACTGACAAATATCAAATGAGCATACTTATTCTACTTGACTATACAAAGGCATTCGATTCAATAGATCACGACACACTTTTATCAATGTTACATTACTTTAGATTCAGCACGCTCCCTGATAGCTTCGTATCTGCACAATAGAACACACATTGTAAAAATCAATGATGAGAAATCCACTCCCATGAAGTTGCGTTGTGAAGTACCTCAGGGTAGTATCCTTGGCCCTCTATCATTCACAATATATACTTCTGATTTGATGAACGTTTTGAAATACTGTTACTACCATTTTTACGCTGACTATACCCAGATATATTTTTTATTCAATTTTTCGAATCTGGCAATAACCATAAATTGTG